GAGGCAGTGTGTTCGTTTGAGGTACAGCAGATTTGGGGGCTTGTACCCTGAAGTCTCCGTAAACACACAGAGTGCTGCTTGGTCACAACAGGGCGGTTACTGGTCATCTGGAGATGGTTCGGTTTTGCTGTTTGAGACTAGTGGCTTCTTCAAGGAGATGAAGTGCTGGGACTGCCGGATTGCCTCTCTGTGGAAACCTCTATTCTTCCAGAATAGAGGAAGAAAGAGCTGTACCTCCGTGCTGCCGTCCTGGAGGCTGCTGCTGGGTGGACATGGTCTGCATTGCACGGATTCCCAGCTGAGCCCCGACTTCTGACCCTTCCCACCTCACCTGCCCTGGCTGCCCATTAGGAGAGGGGTTGAGTGATGCTGTAGTCCAGGGTGTTAGCTTGAGAGGCTGGGGTGTGTTTGTGTGCATGTGCTGTGGGTGGAGAGGAAGGGGGTGAAGCTCTAGGAAGTTCATTTCTGAGAGGATTTCGGGGCTCCTCCGGGGCATCCTAGCCTGGGAGCTCCTCTGGCTGGAGCACTTTTAGCCCCTGGGTTCTGGGGACCAGAGCAGTGTAGATGCGGGGACTTGGGGTACACTCTTCTCCGTGTCCACGGGGCCATCGTCCCTGACTGAAGCCAGACTGACTGGCTCTTGCACAGACTCTAAGGTCTTCATAGGCCCTGAGTATAGGAAAGTGGGTTGTGGAAGGGAAACGGCATAGTGGGACTCGGCAGGGGGTGGTTCAGCCCAAAGAATTGTGGCTGTCCGCCGGGGACTGGCTTGAGGACACACAGAGTGGCGTGTCGTTTGTCCAGAGCAGAGCTGAACAGTGGCTGGGAATTCTCCAGTGTAGCTGCGCTCACTGGCCTGACTGACCGTGATGGCACTCTGGGAGCGGGTGTGCAGCAGTCACAGCGGTCCGAGTCCTCAGAGGCCCTCGGAGCAGGTGGACAGTATTAGCCCTGGCTTCCTGTACAGGAACCGCACCACGTTTTCAGGTATGATTTGAGTGGGGTATGGAGCTGGGAAACAGTGACCTTTTTTCAAATTAGTGAGCAGAAGATTACATTACATTGTATTTTTGGGGGAGAGTCATTTAGAATAAATTCTACATGTAACATGTAATTTGTCATCGGAGCCATTTTATGCATCCAGTTTGGTGGCACTGAGCACATTCACATTGTCATTCAGCCATTTCCAGAGCTTTGTGTCTTGTCTCATGGATACTTCGTACCAGTTCAGCATGAGTTTCCCTTTCCTCCCATTAGCCCGGGGGCACCCACTGTCATGCTCTCTGTCCCTGTGCATTTGTCTACTTCAGGAACCTCAGAAATAATGAAATAATTTAGTATTTATGGTTTTGTGACTGGCTTATTTCAGGAAGCATCAGGTCTTCCTAGTGCATTCTGTTGTGTGTGACAAGACTTCCCGTTCCAGGCTGACGATCGCCTTGGTAAGAACTGCAGCTCGTTTGTCTGCAAAGGTGTTGCTGGGCACTTGGGTGGCCTCTGCCTTTTGGCCATGTGAGTAACGCTGATATAAACCTTGGCCCACAGATACCTGCATTATAGATAAAAAACGTCAACTCTAAAAATACAACGTATATATTACATTTTGGTGACGACAGTGTACTTTGGACTCACATTGGATTTGAATGTGGGGTTATTCAAAACCCTACAGTTTTGTGTGTGGGTTTTGGCTTTCATTTCATTTCATTTTGTAGTGTAAGGGATGGAACCTGGCGCCTTGTGCATGCTAGGCAAGCTCTGTGCACCACCGAGCTACATCCCTGTCCCCTCGAGACCCCTCAAGTTTTAAATGAAAAAACTGTGATGCACTTTATCGTTGAATCTGGCTTCTTTTGTCTTCAGTTGTTAAGCTTTGCGCATCTAATCATATACTTAATTTTGTTGGACCCAGCTTAGTAAACCAGCCTGTCACCATCTTTTGGAATTTCGAGTCTTTCATCTGGTTTAATTTTGGGCCATCCACAAATATCCTCTGTACTCCTGTTCAAGAGGGCGGTGAAGGGCTTGCAGAGAGTGTTGTGGAGGCTGCCGGACGCCTTCCCCTGTTGCCTCATTGCTGTGGGTGTTGCTGTGCAACCATTCACCTTTTATCTAGTTTTTCTCACCTCCAGCTCTGCTCTTTGTTTTCTTCATAAGGAGATCATTAGGAAATCTGTCACCATGCTGCGGTGAGCCAGTCCCCTGCTGTCACAGTCCACACAGCTGTGGAGAAGTGAACCAAACTGGGCTGGTCATACACATTTTCAGGCTATTTTCTTAGAGAACGGGGCCTCCAGAAGGTGTTAGGTGAGCGAGAATGCACTGTTCCCCTGCCTCCTCAGTCTTGGCTTATGATGAAAGCAAGTTTCACGCCACATTCAGCCTAAGGTACTTATGAGACCAACATGCATTGGCAAGCAGGTGTAGTGCAGTGCACACGGTTCGTTCTGTCCCCAGAATCCCAGCTCTGTGCCTTCTGAGGAGGAGCTCTGGTCATGGTGGATGAAAGCTTTCCTTGTGGCAGATTTGCCACTATAAGCTGAACATTCCTAATCTGAAAATCTGAAACCAAAAGTTTAAAATATTTTGTGCACCAGCATGGTGCCACAAATGGAAAATTCCACACCTGACTTCATGTGATGGGCTGCAGTCAAAATTCAGGTGCATTAAAAATAGTGTCTAAAACACCTTTCGGTGAGGTGTATAAGGTGGATAGAAAGCATCAGCGCATTTCGTTTTAGACCTGGGTCCTATCCCCACGATATCTCATGTGCATGTATTGGCACATATTCCAAAATCTCAAAACAAAACCGAAAAAACACAATCTGAAACACTCTGGTCCCAAACATTTGGACGTGGAATACTCAGCCTGTGTTCCAAAGCAGAGTTGTGTTTTCCCTGTGATAGTCACCAGGCAACTGCAAATCCCCAAATCAGCGCTGGACCTCTTCAGAGATCAGGCCTCAGGGTACGGGCTGCCAGTATGGCTGAGTGATTCTTACACCTTGTCTATGCAGGCACAGGGAGTATCAAAATAATTTACTCCTGTCTTAATATTCATCATATTAATTAACAAAGCACCAATTTCACCAAAAAAATCTGACATTCAGTCTGTTAATTAGCAGAGGGCTTCATATCACTCAGATATACAAAGCAGAAATACTTACATGAGGAGGTATGATCGACAAATTTAGTAAATGTTTAAATTAAATTATTGCAGTCTAAGACATATTACTGTTAATCTCCCTCAAAATACCCCGCCATGCTTTGAACACGTGTATCCTGTCAGTCTTTCTACTTTCTGAAGGAGTTGTGGAAGGCCTCTTTGCTGAATATCATGAGTTGTGCTGTTGTGGCTGCCTCAGTGTCCTGAATCCCTTCAAACTGTTTACCTTTCATGTCATTTGAGCTTGGGGAAGAGCTACAAGGTAGATGGGGCCACCAATGAATAAGGGGGATGACACACAATGTTATTATGAGCTTTCCTTTCCATTGGACGGCACTTGGCAGCAGCATTCACTGTATTTTTTTAAACAGGCCTTGGAAAGGTGCTCATGAAAGAGGACCTCCAGAACTACTTCAGGACGTGGCAAGAAGGATGGGATGTGTGTGTTCAGAGAGGGAGTATTTTGAGGGAAATTAATATCAATGTATCCTGTACTACAATAAAATTTAAAATTTAAACACTGAATGTATTTATTTATTTATTTTATTTATTTTTATTTTTTGGTACCGGGGATTGAACTCGGGTCCTTGCGCTTGCAAGGCAGGCCACCGAACCGCTGAGCTAAATCCCCGGCCTGTGAATGTCTTTATTGATCACAGTGAATAGTTGTGACTTTTAGAGCAGGGACTTCCTGGTTAGCTTGCTGTTTGACCAGCTCAGGACATGAGATACAAAATGACAAAGTTTACAAATGTCAAATTGTCTTTTTTCCCATGTGACAACCCCCTAGGTCAAGATATAAAGCATTTCCTGCTCGCCCAGAAGGTTTCCTGGTCCCTTTTGGTACCTCCCAAAGCTAATCATTCCTCCAAACCCATCACCACAGGCTAGTTTCACTTTGAGTTCTTTGAGTTTTACATGTATGGAATCATACATACTGAGAGATTCACTCATGTTCTTGATTGTACAAGTTGTTCATTTCCCCCACTAGCGTGTATATTCTACTCTAGGAAGTTTAGATACCCATTTGATAGTTGATGGACTTGTTTTGAGTAAAGCAGCAGAAATGTTCTTGTGCATGTGTCTAGTGGGTCAGTATGAGTCATTGATGTGGGTCCCTGGATCCTTGTTTGTGTCTGTAACTGAACTGTCTCTTGAATTGAAGTTTACCATTACTCAGAGCATGGAGACTATTGTCATACACGCCTGATAATGTGAAAGCAAATTGAAAGTGATGTTCAAAACCATATTGTGACAAGGAATGAATTTAGTTTAGGAAGACTTGTATTTAGCAAATCCAGGCTGGTAAGAAAGCAGATTGTTGCTTCTGTGTTTCCTGCCCACAGTACCCATTCTCAGCCATAGGTTCAGTCTCCTGAAAGCTGAGATTCTCATGTGAAAGGGTGTCATTTTTTCATGCTTCTCTGCAAGGGGTGGAAAGAACCTCTTGGTTAATTCTGCGAAGAGGCATCATTTTCTAATCATAGAGTCTCACCATGAAAAAAAAAATAATGAATTACTACGAATGCCAAGAATATAAGCGGGTTTTGGGGATCCTGAAAGTTGGAATGAAGGTTTTAAAATAGTCATTTGTATACTTGTTTTCATGTTGTTTTATGTATTGTAATGACAACAGTATTTACTGCTGACTTAGAATTCCTGAATATGCTTTCAGAAATTGAACTCCACCGATAGGCTTTTTTAGAGAATCATTTTCCTCTGATAGCTTGCTAGAACGAAAACCAGTTAGCCTAAAAGAATTGGTAGATCCAAGCAGAATAGGGAAAGGGAACTCATCCCGCCATTGGGCTGCAATTGATTTACATGTTAAGAGTCAGTTTTTGTAAAAGTAAAGAAATAGGTTAGCAGTTCCCTTGACAAAAATGGAAAAACTCCTGGGGACCTCTATCACACATGTACATTTAAGGTGTCACTACCTCTTTTGTAGCACCTCACAGTATTTTTTGAATGACCCTACGGGAGAGGATCTGATAGTGTAATCCAGTGTTAGAGAAGCATTTACCCTTTGACCAAGAGTCTTGGCTCTGGGCCTCTTTCCTGCAGATGTACCTGAACAGGTACCGAAATGGCATTTGTACACGGTTATCCTTGGAGCTTAATGTGTACCAGAATGTCGAAAGCTACCAAGGGTCCATCCATCACTAAGGTTCTGGTTAAAAGAATGATGGTGTTTGTTTACAGTGCAAGGCTGCGCAGTTGCTGAAAGGGATTGAGGCTGAAAGAGAATGAGGGAGATCTGTGTACTGATCTCTAGGTACACTACCAAGTGAACAAAGCAAGGTGAAGAGTGTTGGTATAAGAAAGATGGGGATATAAAAAATTGGTTGAATTTACCTGTATTTGCATCAAGAAACACTGGAAGGACAAATAGGAAACTCGCAAAAATGCTCATCTGTGGTAGGCACAAGAAGGAAGTGACTGAGAACAGGGGTTAGCAGTGACTCTTCCACATGGATCCTTGAATCATGCACGAAATAAGCAATGAGCCAACTAAAGTGAATCTATCAGGCCAGGCTTTGTCATTGCTCTAGACCGAAAGGAGGTAGTAGAAAGCCAGAGCTGAACGCACGGTGCAAGAGTGAGACCATTCACTCTGTTTCTTTTCCTAGAGGATAAGTCAGTGCATTCAGTCACGCAGTCGGCAAATGCTTATTGAGCCCTTCTGATGTGCCTGGTGCTATTTTAGGTGCTATCTGTGTGGGAACATTCAAGTCCAAGTTTTCATGGAGCTGGCACTCTTGAAGGGACCAAAAGATAACAAACTAGCGATAAATGAGAGAGAGAAGACTTCTGAGTCGGGACGGGAGCCTAGAGAAGCATGTGAAAGGGTCACTTGGGGGTCAGGCGAGGTGAATTGCTGATACGTGTAGGTTCCTATGTGTCATGCGCCTGCGAACAGATAGGGTAATAAAATGTTTTTGCAGATAGGATAATAAAATGGTGTAAATTCTCACGTTTAATCTGCTACACCAGCCAGGATTGCTTTTCATCATCATATCATTATCACTTCAGGTAAGTTTCAAATGAAGGAAAAACCAGCATGGCAGCCACTGTGCTCCATCCAACCTACTGTGACCGTGTTGCTGTGTCAGATTTTCATCACTGTGGCAGAATGCCTGAGCAAACAACTTAAAGGAAAAAGGATTTGTTTTAGCTCATGGTTTCAGAGGTTTCAGTCCATGCCTTGTTGGCTCCATGGTTTTATGTTTGTGTCATGGTAGAAACATCAAAGGTGAAGGGCAGGGGAGGGGAAGCAGGGGGAAGGGGCAGGGGGAGGGGAGGCAGCGATGAGAAGGACCAGATACAGGCCGCCGGGTCTCACCCTCATGATGCCCTCAGATTATGGTCTCATCAGTGGATTAACTGACGAAGTTAGAACCTTCACGATCCGGCCCACATAACCAAACCTGTTACGATGTAAATATGACGTGTTCTCCACAGACTCGGTCCCCACTCAGTGGTGTGTGACATGGTGAGAAAAAGTCAACACTTCCTCCTTAAATTGAACGTATCCGGTATTTGGTTTCAGCAACAGAAAGGTGACTGATACAGGGCCTGCGACACAAGGAGAGCAACACAATGGGAAACATTTTAGGTAGCAGTCATAACAAGCAGACTAGGATTTAGTTGGTTTGATTATCAGAGTTTTCACAGCAGTGGGGATAGGTTGGCGAAAACATATATAATTTGAGGCTGTAAGTGTGGATTATTAGATGGACAAGACTTTACAATGAAAAGCCCATTATTTTTTCCTGTTCAGTAAGCAGTCTAAAACTTTAATTGGCCCTTACTGTGTGACATTAGCTGCAGAGAAATGGAAAGAAAAGCCCACGCATACAGATGACCACATGGCCCTCACCTCCCACACATCTTCCTGACAATCATTATCTGAAAGTACCACAGAGGTGTTTCCAGAGTGGAGAGTGTACACATTTGAAAGATTATTTCGTATGTGTTTAGTTTTTCTTATTCTGATCTTTTATTGGTAGGCTTCTCTTTCACAGTTTCTGAGTTGAGAATTTGTGTATTTATTTTCAAAAGTTGCTATGATGAAACGGTCTCCTAAAGAGATTTTCCTGTGTCTTTGGGTTCAGCTGAAGTTTGGTGAAACTTGAGAACTAATGAGGACTGCAGATCAAAGGCCCGCGAAGAGTCAGTGGTCAGAGTGCTTCTGCCTCTGCAGGTCTGCTGGGATCACTAAGAGTCGCTGTGTTGCTGTGGGGATGAAGAGGGGTCCATACACACTGGGTGGCAGACATGTGAGTCTGGCATTTTCCTGACAGCCCAGCCACGATAACTCTGTATAACACGGAGCCAGTGTATTTCTGAGCATTCCTACATGGGTGACTTAGTTAAGAAAAGTCCCAGAAACCAGATTTGCTTCAAGGGTTGGAAGAAAAAAATGCAAAGGAACGCAAACCCTGATATAGCTGTAGGGCTCCACTCTGCAGTGTGGCAGGGAAATGTCCCAGATGTCCCCAAACCCGGTGTCATCCTAGGAAAGGCGCAAAGGTGATGGTGGAAGCTTGTCGTGGACTTCCCTGTCTTCGTGCGGATGGGCGGAGCCTGCCCGAGGACGGGTGGTTTCAGGATTTTGTCAGATCTGTTCTGGAATCACAGGGTGAGCCTAGGCTGATGAGACCTTGGCTTGCTGTAGAGGAAGGAGAGGGGCGGACTCTGACCGAGCACACGAAGCCCTTCCGTTCTGCTCCACACCCCTTGTTGGCCTCACAGGAATGTTGGACCCCGGCAGCGCATCTGGCTGGGGCTATGAAAGCTGGTCCACAATGGCTGACTGCTCCCTTGCCGTCCTTAGCAGAGTGAGAACACCTTGCACAGAGCTGTTCTGTTTATTTTCAGCTGCTCTTCTTTCCCATCTGGGACCAAGGACTTGAAGATTCTGATACAAATGTGTAGCTAGAGTCTGGAAACCTACTTAAAACACCTCTGGAAACAGTAAAAAAAAAACAGGTGTAGTGGCACACCCCAATAATCTTGGCAGTCTGGGAGGCTGAGGCAGGAGGATCGAAAGTGCAAGCCCAACCTAGCAATTTAGTGACACTCTGTCTCAGGAGAAAAGGGGCCAGGAATGTTGCTCTGTGGGAAGTGCCTGGGTTAATCCTCACTACTGCAAACAAACAGTAGTAAAAGTTGCTGGCTGTTCTGCCCAGTTCTTCCCATGATTATTGGATGATTAAGGAAGAAATGAAATAAGCCATGGTTCTGGCACCCAGCAGAGATCTTGGCAGATAGGTGTTCAATAAATTGGTATTTCTCCTTAGCCTCAGCATTGCTTTCCTGCCTTCCAGAGAATCCCCAAGTTCAAGGAGTAGTGAACAGTGATCTTGGACGTCTTGGATATCTCGCCTGTTGAGGGGGGCTGAGCCCTGCGAAGGCGTACTGTTCGGTCCTTTGGGTGCACCTGTAATTTGAGAGGTTTAGTGTTAGTGGCTGATGTCAGACAAACCAGAATGGAGAGGTCAGATTCACCCCAAATATATTTTGTTGTATTCCGTATTCTTTGAATTTGACCACTTAACACCCACTTAGGTTCCTAAGGCAGTACTTATAAACAGAACACTGAATCCAGCAACACACACATTCCCTAGCTGTTTTGGATTTTAGGCAAGGAATAATCAGCCCTGAATTCTTTGTTTGCATTTACAGACATCCTATGGCAGTCTGATGAGAGTGTTGGGTAAGAACTTGGATTTATCCTTCACCCACCCCAAGAAATCAGAGTTGTGTGGATTGGTCACATGCAGCGCAGAGGTTTAAAGCCCATAGAGCATAATCCTGATTTTGTCAGAGACCCCGAAACATGGGTGTGTCACATTCACATTTATTCTTTAGAATATTTCTATTGATAAATTATCAACTTTAGTTTTATTATATTAAACAGTGAATCCTTAACAGGAAAAATATCACAAAATAAAGTATTTAATTTTTAATATTTATTGAGTGTTTAAAAACTTCAAAATTTTCAACATTGATTATTTTTTGGTATACAAAGTGTAAAAAAGAGAAACAAATTCCTCTTTGAATTACAGTGAAAATACCAATGGCACGCTACAAAAAAAAACTTCAATTATCACACCTAAGACAGTCTTCACATATGACAGCAGCAAAAATATATAATAAATATATAATATATAAATATATAATATGTAATATATAATAATTGTATAAAAATATACAATATATAGTTAATAGGAATGTCAGCAAGTATTAAATTATCACTGTGCATTGCATGTGTAGAATAAATAGCGTTTTCACCTTAGCTGTGTACTTGCTTATGAAACCTAAAATAGCATCAGAAATTAAAACCTATGTGAACTACAATAAAAATATCAGTACAATTCTACAACAAAAATAATCTTTCCTTCAAGTGTCACACCCAAGACTGTCTTCATACGTGACAACTGCATGTTCCATGCACGTGTCTTACACTGACAGCACATGTGGTTAGCTTTCCTTTCCTGTGTGGCAGGCCATTGCTGTCACCGCTCTTCTCTTCCTGTTTTATCAGGAACTTCCTACTGTGTTTTACAATGTGTACATTGTAGGGAAATAAAATATCAATAAAATAAAATATCAAATGTGTAATGACTGCTTAGAAGAGACATCAACATTTCCACGTCAGCTGTTTACTGCTTACGAAACCTAAAAGGTAACATAAGAAATAAAAACCTATGTGAATTATGATGAAAATGCCAATTGAACTCTACAACAAAAATAATCTTTGCTTCAATTTTCATACCCAAGGCAGTCTTCGCACATGAAAATTGCATGTTTCATACACAAATATTGTTTACTGATATCGTGTATGTTTTGTTTTCCTCTCCTTTCTTGTAGGGCATAGTTGACATCTTTTCAGTTTTCTTCTTGTTGTAAGTTTTTGGGATGCTGTGCTTGCCTGTTCACCTGTCAGCTCACCAGTGTCTC